AAATGAACAATTTTAATAATTTTTTTTATATTATTTTTAATATTCTTTGCTCTTTCTCTTCAACTTTTTTTTTTTTATTATATTATATTATTTTTTTTATATTATTTTTTTTATTAATATTAATATTCTTTGTTTCTTCTCTTTAACTTTCTTTTTTTATTATATTATATTATTTTTTTTTATATTTTTTTATTATTATTTTATTTTTTTTTATTTTATATTTTTTTTTTATTCAAGATTTTCTAATTTATTCAAATGTTCAACTAATCGTTGACTAATCGCATGCCTTCTTCTTTTATTTTTTTCTTTTTTAAGATATGCCACCCTCTCTTTTAAATGTCTCATTATTCCCCGAATATCCATCATTTCACGATCAATTTCTTCAATTGATTTATCGTCAACACTTTCATCTCTCCTAAATTCTAATACAAATTGAGAATGTTGACTTTTACGATCATGTTGAGATTTTTTGTGATCTGAATTTTGTCTATATCGAGACCCATTTCATCTATATCGATAACGACGACTTTGATGACCCCACGAATGTGACCGTCGATTATTTGGATAATCATCCCGTGGATGTGACCATCGATTACTTGGATAATCATCCCGTGAATGTGATCTATGGCTTCTTGAATGTTCCTTGGAATTTTTTTATAAAGATATTTCACTTTGTTCACAAATATCTTGGGTTTTCTGAACATTATCCATTACATTATTTATGCGAAAAAATCAATCTTTTTATACAAAAAAAAAATCATCACATTTTGAATTTTTTATGATGATAATTAAAAATATCTTAAAAATAATAACGTAAATCAAAATTAATTAACATTTATTAATTAATTACAAAAACATGACAATAATTATAAAAATATGTCTTCATATTTTGAATTCATTATGATGATAATTATAAAATACATCTTAAAAAAATAATGACGTTAACATTTATTAATTACAAAATATGACTAATTATGAAAATACATCTTCATATTTTTGAATTCATTAATTATAAAATACATCTTAAAAATAATGACATTAACATTTATTAATTACAAAAATATGACAATAATTATAAAATATGTCTTCACATTTTGAATTCATTATGACGATAATTATAAAATATCTAAAATAATATCATGTTTTCGTAATTAATTAACATTTATTAATTAATTACGAAAACATGACAATAATTATGAAAATACATCTTTTTTTAAAAAAATAATGATTCAAAAGTTTGTTATTATTTTTAAAACAATAACATAATTACAAAAAAATAATAATATCAAAAAAATAATAAAAAAATTATTTAAATAATATTACAAATACATAATCTTAAAAAATATTAATTTCTTAATGATCAATAAGGTTTAAATCTAATGCTTTCAGCTCTAAAATTTTTATATATCGCTTTTTTATTTTTTTCAATAATAACTTCATCTGCTTCAACTCCAAGATATTCAACATTTAAGATTACAGAATCAAATTTAGTTTTA